CCTCTTCTTCACCAAGTCCTCGCTGGAGAGGGTCATTGGTGGTGGGGGTCAGGTGGCGCTGTCCCCCAGCGCTGTAGCAGGCAAAGGTTGCTCAGCTGGGTCTGAGCCGGGGACGCCCGGTCACTGGGTGGCTGTTCCTGACCAGGCTACAGTGCATCAGCCCCTAGCTGGGTGTGGGGCCCAGACAGCCAGCATCCCCACAGGGGTTAGCCTGAGGTGAGCTGCTGGTACCCGCCAGGGGCCATCGCACCTCCCCTGGACAGTCGGCCGTCTCGGGCTGCTTGCTCCTGGGTGGTACTCATGGCTGCTGTTACACAGGTGGGCATTTGCTGCCAAGGTCAGTACTGCCCAGATGAGCTGTGATGCCAGTGGAGTCCACCAAAGGGGCTGGGAGGTTGGGGAGGCCCCCAGGTGGCCTCACACTTTCAAGTTAGCCAGGGAGCATGTGAGAGGGAGGCAGAAGCGGGTCTCAGGCTGTGGCCAGCTACCCGTGGGGCTCGGCCGGGTGGGGGGCGGGTTGTCTGCCCTGTGGTTTTCAGCCTGCTTCTCTGGGCATGCTGACCAGAGCCCAAAGTCTCAGCTGCCCCAGCCCACTTCCTCCAGCCAGTGTGGAGCTTCGCCAGCTGACAAGCAAGCGTAAGTCAGTGTGAAGCCAGCAGGGAGGCGGCCAAGAAGCTCCACCTTGACCCTGCGGTAGCAGGACCCTCTACTGGAGCCGGCCATTGTCTGGGTTGTGTGCCAGGCTTTCCAGCACAGAATTCAATCCCATAGCAAGAGGGAACAATTAAAAAAAAAGATTTATTTATTTATTGGAAAGTCAGATAAACAGAGAGGAAGATTTCTGTCCAATGATTCACTCTACAATGACCAGAGCGCAGCTGATCTGAGACCAGAAGCCTGGAGCCTCTTCTGGGTCTCCCACGCGGGTGCAGGGTCCCAAAGCTTTGGGCCGTCCTCGACTGCTTTCCCAGGCCCCAAGCAGGGAGCTGGAAGGGAAGTGGGGCTGCCAGGATTAGAACCGGGGCCCATATGGGATCCCGGTGCATTCAAGGTAAGCATTTTAGCCACTAGGCTACTGTGCTAGCCCTGAGGGACCAGTTGTTTTTTTTTTTTTTTTTTTAAAGAAACATCTTTTTAAACTTTTATTTGAAAGACACAGTTGAGAGAAAGAGAGAATCCAGTCTGGTTCACTTCCCAACTTCCCACAGTTGCAGCAGCTGGACTGGACTGGGCTGGAGCCAGGGGCCAGGAGCTTTGCTCTAGTGTCCCACATGGGTGCAGGGGCCTAAGGAATGGGGCTTTGCTTCACGCTTGCCCTGGCTTGGGCCGCTCTCCCTTCGCCCTGGAGCTGTCATTGCCACAGGAGTCCACGGACTCCCCCCACCTCTGCCTGCAGACACTGGGTGCTGCAGCTACGCTCCCAGAGAGGGTCCCACCGCCTAGCCCTGTGCCTCTCTGGTCTACCTGCCCATCCGGGCTAGGTGTAGGCCCCCGCCTGCAGGCCTCAGCATCCTGCATTCCACAGACACCTGTGCTGGCCCGAGCTGGGCTGTCAGCTGGTACCCTCAGCTGTGGTTGGTCTTTGGGGTCCTGCTGTGAACTGTGCCCAGACGGGTCCAGAGGGTGTGACAACATGGCTGCCGCATGGCTGGGCAGGCTGAGCACTGTGCACCAGCGTGCGCCCAAGGCGGGTTTTGTATGACGAACGGTAACTGGCTGGGGGCTGGGGGTGCTTGGGGATGTCCCTCCTCCCCCACTCGGAACAGTCGGGAGGGCAGCTCGGGGCCACTCCTGTGGAGTTGGGGAGATGGACAGGGTGGGGTGGGGGTGCAGGGGACCCTGTTGAGCGAGTGGTGCCCACTGTAAGGGATCGTCCGAGGGCTCCGCAGCAGCTCCCGGCCCTTCCCAGCCCCTCCTGCCTTCCCGTACCACGGACGGCCGTCTGGGCGTCTTCCTGCGGCCAGGCCTGTGTCAGGGCTGGGACCAGACAGTGCAGGGAGGGTCTGTCTGAGGGGGGAACGATGCTGCTGCTAGTATGACCGGGCTGGGGGCTTTCCCTCTACACCGCCACTCACCGGGTCGGGCCCCCCTTGGCATTTCCGTGATCTGGGTGTCTTGAGGTCCGCGGCCCTCCTATGTTGCCACTCACTGGGCTGGGTGCCCCTCTGCATTTCCGTAATCTGAGTGTCTTGAGGTCTGTGGCAACGCCGGGTCCAGAGTCCTTGGGGTGTGCTCCTCTTGGGGGAGGGGCTGGGAGCCTGGGTGGGAGGGTCTTTGGGCCATCCAGCTGTGAGCTGCTGTCCCTCCCAGGCTGTGGCTGGGAGCCGTGAATCACTGGAGCCCTGGGGTGGCCTGAGGACCGTCTCCCCAGGGACCCCCAGACTCTGTGCGTGGATTTCATAGCCCCTGGCCCTGCAGGGAGTTGTGGCACTTGCTTGAAACCAAAGTGTGGGACGAGGAGATGCAGGGAGGTCCTCTCCCCGGACCCCTGCCAGATCCCTGTGGGGGGTCTGTGCTGGGGGCAGGGGACATGGTGATGGAACAGCAGACATAGTGGAAAGGGGATGGGTATGTTGGACCCTGAAGGGTGTCCCTCAGTCCCTCGGTCCTCCAACCCATGGCCCAGACGCGGAGACAGAGGCATGGAGAAGTAAACTCGCTCAACAATAGCAGGTCTGCCGTTGCGGTGGGCCCTCTACTGTCCCCAAGCAAGTGGCTGGAGGCCTTAGCACCTGCAGCCCCAGGTGGGCTCTGCCTGGAGTGGAGAGGCAGCAGGGCTGAGGGCTTGAGGCCCCGCACTGTAGGGGTGGGATGAAGAGGTGGGGCCTGACTTCCCCTGGTCTTCTGGATGTCACACAGGCTTCCGTTAGGAGAGGATCATAGCAAGTCTCAAAGTGGCTACTTGGCAGGGGGAGTGGCCCAAACAACCCAGGGTATCAGAGGCACCACAGAAAAGGGGTAGAGGTGGAAGTGGGACCAAGAGTTGCTCGGAAAGGAGGTGTGGGTGGAGCAGAGCTGTGCCAGGTCTCTTCTGCTGGTGATCTCATGTTGTCTGGGCAGCCTGGTGGCCCTGTGACCCGCACTGTGCTGATAACAGGCACCCAGAGGTGAGTAAGAGTGGTGCTGGGATAGTCTGAGCGTGTGGTGCTCCTAGAGACTGACTCATGCCAGGTAACATGACACTCTGTTCTCCACCTTTGTTACCTCCTCTGACAGAAGGGCTGCCCCTGTTGCCACCACTGCCATCACCACCATCACCATTATCATCACCATCACCATGACTGCCATCATCACCACGACCATCATCACAACCATCATCACCATCCTCATCACCACCATCACCATCATCACCACCACCACCGTCACAATCACCACCACCATCACCACCATCACCACCATCATCACCATCATCACCATCATCACCACCATCACCATCACCACCACCATCATCACCACCGCCATCACCATCACCATCACCACCATCACCACCACCATCACCATCACCACCACCATCACCACCATCACCATCATCACCACCATCATCATCCTCATTACCATCATCATCACCACCACCACCATCATCACCACCGTTATCACATCCACATGGAGCGAGAGTTAGCACTTCACTGGGAAGTGTGTGGCAGGGGCCTGGGTGGGTGTTTGTACTCAGGGACACTGGCCAGAAGTTTGAGTTGCCTGGAGGTGACCTGCAGGCTGAGGGGGCCAAGGGGCCTGTGCTCACCTGAGGGCCTCTGCCTTAGTTTGTGAGCACTTGAGCCCTTGGCCACAGCGGTTGAAGAGCCTGGTCCCTGGAGGAGCTGAACCGGCTTTGTAGCTCTAGTTGCTGAAGGTGCCCGGCTTCCCAGGGATGATGTGGCCTCCCAGCCCCATCAGGTGTGGGTTCCAGGTGTGGCGACCCTGACCTTTGGGAACTTGATCATGGAGGCATCTTCCTGCCCACCAGCCACTGGGTTGCTGGAGAGACCAGCCTTGGTTAGGACAACAAATGCTCCTCCCTGGGCACTGGTCATGAGTGAGCGAGTGGGGTGTCACCTGGCTTCCTTATCACAGATCTCCTGACCCCTGGCCCACTCCCTGCCTGCCTGGCCACAGGTAAACATGACAAGGATGTGGTTACCAGGGAGCCTGCTTGGGGGAGGGGCAGCCTTGCACCTGCTACCACGCCTGTTCCCAAATCCTGGTGTGCAGGGGCAGGTGGGTCTGTCCCTTCCACCGGCTATGGAGAAGGGGGCCTGGGGGCACTTTTTTCTTTAGGAAGTGGGGTCCCCTGGCTATTCCTGGGTGCTGTGAGGATCAAAGTGTGCTGAGACAGCCCCCAACCACTGCCCAGGCTCAGCTGCAGGAGATGGGGGAGCATTCAGCTGAGCCAGAGGGGCCCCCCGACACAGGAGATGGGGGACCCTGTGCTTCGGCTAGGGCTACAAAGGCTTATGGGAGGATGGGAGGCAAAAGCCATGGCATCCATCCCGCAGCGCTGTTTGGGCAGTCAGCCACCTGGAGTCTTGCTGGGGCCAGTCAGGGCAGTCCTACCCCAGTCTCCTCAGGGACAGGCCTGGTCAGAGGACCTCTGTGTGCTCCCAGTGTCCCCTCAGCTCCCATGGCCACATGCTGATCTAGTCTGACAGGTGTACAGGGACACACAGAGGGGCGGCTCTGTGGGGACATGGCGGGGCGATGCAGAAAACCTTCCGAGAAGTGCCTTTACTCTGGTTTCCAGTTCCCCGGAAGGCAAGAGGTGTGGCCATGGCCACTAGCCCCAGGTGGACAAGGGGCCAGAGGCCGGGTGTGCTGCCCATGGTGTCTTGTTGTGGCCACACCTTGCAGATGACACATGTGTGGATGTGTGGTTGAGAGCAGGGGAGGAGCAAGAGCCCAGCCCAGTCCAGCTAACGGAGCCCTATAAACAGCAGGCTGGCTGCCTCCTGCTCATTTGCTCTGCTCATAGACACTGCCTGCCTGCCCATCTGCCCAGCCTGGGGATGAGGACCCATCTGCTGTGGTTGCTGCCTCTGCTGCTGCTGGCACGGCCAGGTGAGTCCCAGAGCACCAGGGTCTGGCCACCTCCCTGAGGCCCTGGGCTGCTCTGGGCTGCCTGGAATGGCTGGCCCCAGGAGCTGTCTGTACCTTCTCCCCCAACCTGGCTGCTTATGAGTTATTTAGTTGGAAGGCAAAGCTAGAGAGAGAGGGAAGGGGAGAGGAAGGAGTGAGAGAAGGAAATGGACGGAAAGAGAGAAAGGCGATCCTGTGTCCACTGTTTCATTTCCCAAATGGCCATTGCCACCAGGCCTGGGCCAGGGCAGAGCCAGGAGCTCAGCCAGGTGTCCACACGGCTGGCCAGGGCCCAGGCACTCTCGGGGTCCCCTGCTGCCTTCCGAGGCACATCAGACTAGAAGTGATATGGGATGTGGGGGGCCCGTCTGCACCCCAGCACCAGCCACCCTCTCTTCTTCCTGGACGTGTGGCTGTACTTGCAAAGTCCTGGGAGCTGCCCTCCATGAACTGATGGGGGATTTCCAGGTCGGGTGCTGGACTTCTGGCCGCCCGGGGCCTTGGTTTCAGCTTTGGAAAGTGGGTGGGGCACAGGGTAACTTCTGGGACTTTCTGGAAGGCATTGACAGGCTGAGTCTGTGCTGTGTGCTGCTCATGCCCTGGGTGCCAGGGGAGTGTTGGGCAGGGGGCCTGGGCAGGGCTTGGTCTCTGACCCTGCCGTGTCTCCCACAGCCCGGATGCTGACATGCCATGACTGTATGGCTATGAGGAACTGCTTCCAGCCCACGTCTTGCCCAAATGGCACACGCTACTGCCTGACCACGTGGAACAGTGAGTCCCTCCCTCTCTCCCTTGGCGGGTGGGGTGGGTGGGCAGTGCTTGGGACCAGCAGGACAAGAGGAAGGGCCTGTGGGGCTAACCCAGGTGCTGGTGTGAGTACTGGGGCAGCCCTGACCCAGGCTCCTCCTCCTGAAGTGGGCTCCATAGGAAGAGGGATGGGCATCCGTGCACAGGAGATGCCCCCTTGGTGTGGGCACACAGCAAGTGATCTGGGGCCTGTAGCCAGAAAGGGAGAGGGTGGGGGCACTGGGCCCCGTCTCTGGCTGTGCACTGAGCCCTCTGGCCGGCCCTGTGAGCCGGGGGGGAGCTGTCAGCAAGCTGGGCGTCCTAAGGGCAGGAGCAACTCACAGCCCCTGCTGTGTTCTACAGGTCTCCCCAGCCAGAAAACGCTGGTGATAAAGTCGTGTGCTTACACCTGCCCTGGCTATCAGGAGAGCTTGTCTCAGTCCAGGGCCTCCTGCTGCAACACTGATGTCTGCAATGGGTCAGCGCACCACAGTGGCTTCTGGGGGCTGCTGGCCCTCAGCCTCGGGGTCGCCATCCTCTGCACGTAGCTGTGGGGCTCAGCCCTGGGAACATGCCAGAGCCTCGGGCTTAGCCCTGTCCCCTGGGAACCACCACCGGCAGTGTGGCCTCAGGCAAGGCGACTCCTGCGGAGAAGGACATGGGAGACTTGCGAGCTTCAGCCTGGCTGGAGACTCCGCACACAGATGCTGGTGCCGCAGCTGTCCAGAGGGGCCCCAGAGGCGGCCTCCTGCCGGCTTCCAAGGCAGCACCCTGGGACCCCGTGCCGGGCCTGAGGCTGGCGCCCTGGAGCTTTCTGGGGCCCCTGGGTGAGCCGGTTTCCCCCGCTCCCTCCCTCCTTGTCCGGCTCTTGAGTGGACAGCTGTCTCCTGGATCCAAATCCTGGCAAATGGCTGCAGAGACTGGCCAGCACACGAGGAAAGGCGCTTGGCTGCATGGCAGATGGGCACTGTGTGGTTGGTGCCAGTGGCAACAGGGCTGGCAGAAGGGGTCAGCATCAGGCTGCCCTTCTGAGCTTCCTGAAGGACACAGAATGTCTGGCCCTGACTGGAATCAGCTGCTGTAGACTGCACGGTGCTGTGCCCCAGGATGGGGGTCCCAGGGCCCAGCCTCCCCAGCCCCCAGGCCAAGCCCTCAGCCTTGGGGATTCCTGTGAACCAGACCTACTTCAATAAAAGTCTCCATGGAGCTCACGCCCGTCTGTGTCCGTGGGGGCCCTGGGTGGGCCCTCCTCCTGCTGAGAGACCCCCACCTCTTCCGGCCAACAGTGGGCTCCCTGGGCGCAAGGCCGGTGTCCGGCAGTGACCAGAGCTGGGATTCAGGTGCTGGTATGTCCCTCCCCCGCTTCCCTGACAAGTGCCACTTTCTGGAGGGGATTGAAGATGTCGCCTGGGCACAGCAAACGCCACCTGCCTTGAAACTGTGCGTTTGTGTTGTGTGCCGTGTGGCCGGAGCGCAGCCTCCTCCTGCTAGCACATGGGCTGGGGTTGGGTGGGTGGGGAGGGGTCCACATCGTCTCCTGCTCTGTCCGTACACAATGAGCGGGTTCCTCCTGCCTGCCTGCTCGGCAGCATCTTGTTTCATCCCCGGACCTCAGAGATGCCTTGGGGATTGCCACCAGGGATGCCTGCTTGGCCACGTGGGTCACAGCTGCCATGGTGAAACTGGCCGGGCAGGACCGCATTCCCCTGGGGGCCGCCCCTGCTTGGCAGCCGGTGCTAGTCATGGGGTGCGGAGCTTGCAGCCCCTGCACCATCCTGACTCAGCGCCACTGTCTTCTCACCGCCGTATGGTGCCCAGCTGAGGTGGTATCGCATCCACAGAATGTTAGCTCTGGTTACAGTGAGAGGCAGGGCAACGGACCGACACCCCTCAGCTGAGTGCGGCCGGGAACAGCACCTTCACGGGGCTCTTAGACACCCCTCAGCTGAGTGCGGCCCCGAGCAGCACCTTCACGGGGCTCTTACGGGGCAGTTGGCAACGGCTTGTTGTGCTTGCACAGCCTGTGTCCGTCTCTTCTCCCATCTGGTATTAAGATAACCAGGCTGAGGACTGGATTCCAGGAAGTGAGAATGATCCGTGCGGAAGGCCATGTAGATGGCTCGTCTGCGAGCTCGCAGTGTCAGAGTTTCACAGCCAGCAAGCAAAGCAGGAATTACGACAGTGGCGGGCAGTGCACTTAGGAATGAGCTGTGTTACCCCACTCAGTTTCCAACTCTGCAGTGGGCTCAGAGTTCAAGAGCCTGGATGCGCTGACGAGGCAGTGCTGGGGTGAGGTGCAGAGGCAGGGTCCGACTGTACCAGAGGCGTCGGGAGCCAGCTTCCTGCGCTGGTCAGCATTATCTCTGTTAAGAAGAAGCAAGTAGAGCTTGGAAATGAGGCCCTGGTTGGTCACGCGCTTGGGGAAGCCTGACCCCTCCACCACTTCCACGGAGTGGAGCCTGAGGCACTGCTATGCGGGAGCCATCTGATCCTGGCTTCCCGGCCCAGCCCTGAGCTCATGGCAGCTCTGGGGCCCGTATTCCTCATTTGCCAAGCAGTGTGCAGGGGCCCAGACACAGAGGTGGGGGCAGGAAGGCTGGGTATGGGCTCTTAGGGCCAGCGATCCTGGCCTTGGGCTGCTTGCCAAGCTGGGCCTGAAGCTGGCTCATTGTTGCTCTGCATGACTTGCACAGGAACTGCCACACTTCCCAAGGCCCCCAAGAGTTCCATGTCCCCTGGGCCCGGCCGTGGCAGGGTGGCCCTGCTTCAGCACTGTTCCCTATCTGTGTCCCTCACCCCTGGCCCGGATGCCCAGGGGCCGCCTTCCTGACCTCTATCTCCAGAAGCTGGTGCTGCATGCCCCCTCCAGTGGCTGGGGACCTGGGCCAGCCTGCAGCAGCTTCCTCGCCCAGGGAGGGTACTAATGGGTCCATGGTGGTGCCAGGCCTGGTCAGTTAGCAGGAAGCAGAGCGTGTGGAGTGGCCACAGGTGTGTGCGTCATGCCTCGTTCTGCAGCTAGGGCTGGAGTCTTGCAGGCTGGCCTTGCAGTGGACGAGAGCCCAGGGCCGGCAGGGAAGAGGCACAGGTGGCGGCTGAGTACCTGGGGAGCCTAGGCCGCCCCTCGGCCTGGAGTCAGCGGTGCACCCTGGGATCTGTGTGCTGCTTCTGAAACCTGCGCCTCAGCTGCCTCCCGAAGGTGTGCGCCCCACGTGGATCTCACTGCGCGTTTCAGCTGCTCTGCCACCAGGGTCTCAGGGATGCCCCACGGGCAGGCAGGTACAGCGGGCAGCCCCTGGGGCAGGCAGGCACAGTGGGCGGGGTCAGCTCCCAGTCCCCAGGGCAGGCAGGTACAGCAAGAGGGGGGCAGCTCCCAGCCCCCAGGGCAGGCAGACAGAGTGGGCAGCTCCAGCCAAGTGCCCACTCCCGGTTGGCTCCCCAAGGGCTGGGTTGGGCTCTAGGCTGCATCTCTGAGGGGACATGGGGCCGAGTCAGAGCCTTTCCGCAGCAGAACTGTCTAGGGAGGACTGGCCAGGCCTGCCAGGCAGGGGCCTGCCCTCACTCCACTGCCCTAGGGGAGATGGCTCAGGCAGGAGCGAGCCGCGGCCAGGAGCTGCGGGCCCAGGTGCTCGGGGGAGTCCATAGGCTTGGTGCTGGGTGTCCACACCAGGGAGAGGGCATGTGGATGAGGGGCCTTCTCCAGACTGGCTGGTGTTCGTCTCTCCAGGGGTAGGTGGGCTGCAGTGCAGGTGGATTCCTGGCCCGTGGTCCCAGGGGAGAGTCATCCAGGAACAGAGCAGGACCGACCTGGAGAAGGTCAGGGCTGACATGGGCAAGCACAGCCTGGGAGCCAGGGCCACTGCATCACGCACCAAGGACGCTCTGCCAGGCCAGCCTGTGTCCTCCTGCTCAAGGACAGCTGTGACGTCCCCAGAGACAAGGCCCACACTATTCATCTCTGCCTGTTGAAAGGGCATGCTGTGAGGTGACACCCCCGGCTGGGGCCCCCGGGGAAGCAGTGGGTGTCAGGAATTGGGACAGAGAAATCCGCAGGAAAGCCAGACATGGCTGTCTGCTGCCCAGTGGCCTCCCCTTGCCATGTGGATCTGCCCAGCCCAGTGTGTCCACGCCCACAGCCCTGCTCTGAAGCTCTGTCTGCCCTGGCACACGTGGGTGGCTGAGCTCTCACTGCCCCACCACCGGGAGCACCGGCTTTCACTATGGCTGGAGGGAGTCATAGAGGCCGGGCATGAGGGTCCAACTCTGGGGCCACTGTGGGCAGCAACACCAGAGCCTTCTGTGTCCTGATGCAGCCAGTCAGGGAGTTCTGATGACCACAGACCCAGAGGACATACTGCACACACTCTCACACACACTGTCACACATTCTTACACACTCACACATACTCATGCACAGTCCAGGCCGCCAGCAGCTGGCATCTCTTGCTGACCAGGCCCCTGGCAGCTGGCATCTCTTGCTGACCAGAAAGATGTGCTGGGAGTGACGTTCATTGAGAAGCATGAGCAGAGAGGGACTCACGCTGACCATCCTGCAACAGACATGAACGATTTAGAAGAAGAACCCTTGACCGACACAGGGCCAATGCTGTGTGCGATGCTGGCATCCCACTGGAAGTGCTGGCTCAAGTCCTGGCTACTCTGCTTCCAACCCATCTCCCTGCTAATGCACAAGGTGTCCCAAGCACGTGGGCCCCCGCGACCTCCAGGCTCAAGTCCGGCTCAGTCTGGCTGTTGAGGTCATTTGGAGGTGAGCCAGCAGTTAGGATATCGCTCTCTGCCCTGTCTCTCCTTGCCTGTCTGGAACTCTGCTTTTAAATAAACAATTTAAAAAAGAGATCTATTTATTTTTATTGGAAAGTCAGATCTACAGAGAGGAGGAGAGACAGAGAGGAAGATGTTCCGTCTGATGATGTTCCGTCTATGGTCCCAAGTGGACACAGCGGCCAGAGCTGAGCTGATCCGAAGCCAGGAGCCAGGAGCGTCCTCCAGGTCTTTCATGCGGGTGCAGGGTCCCAAGGCTTTGGGCCGTCCTCTACTGCTTTCCCAGGCCCCAAGCAGGGAGCTGGATGGGAAATGGGGCTGCCAGGATTAGAACCGGTGCTCATATGGGATCCTGGGCATGGAAGCCAAGGACTTTAACAGCTGGGCCCCAAATAAATAATTCTTAAAAAATAATATTGCACTATGTATGGAAAATATGTTGATTTGCATGTCACATATACTCATCATGATCACTAAAAGTGCAACCTTAAAAAATGGAATAATTATGTGAATACATTAAGAGATGGGCAATACACAAAAGAACACTGAAAATTCAAAGTTTTGAGAAAAGAAGTGAAGGGTTTGTGATAACCCTTTGCTCTTTTCCTTTCTTTACAATTAATATTGCTTTGTCTTTTTTTTAGATTTTTTAAATTTATTTGAAAGAGAGAGAGCGTGCGCTGTTACTCTATGCAGCTACAACAGCTAAGATCTGAGTCGGGTGAAGGTCAGGGGTCAAGAGTTTCGCCTAGGTCACATGGGCAGCAGGG